TTTCTTTTATATTCTCAATCTTAATTTTTATTTATTTAATCTAAAACTATACGCATTTATATAAGGCTCATCTAAATAAAAAATAATAGAAATAATTCACATATTACATAATTATTTTCCTATTTTTGTTTATTTCATAATCACATTAACTATCCAACCCAACTCAATTAAATCAGTTAAAATAAATTTTTTCTTCAATATAACGATATATATTGAAAAGTATAATAACAGTATTTATAATCTTACTATTAATGAAATGATTAAGTTATTATGCAAGTATTGAGTATAAATTACTGTAATCAGTTAATCTTTTAAATATATTTCATGTTTTATAAAATGTTTATTCGTTATTTTTAATGTTCAATAATGTGGAAATGAAACACTAAATGATATTTAAAATTAACACTTATGTTAATCAATTTGTCAGTTATTTTAAAATTTATAACATTATAAAATTACTTTTACTTAGTGTTGTCGATATTTTTAACACACCCTTTTACCAAATTCATAATAAAAACTGATTTTTGTATTTTTAGTTTAGTATTATTTCGTTATAGTAATTTAAAAACATTATATCAATAAAGCAAATTAAATTAAAGCTCAGAAGAAGAAGAGAAATAATCCACAGCTACTTTACACAAATGCTTAAATCCAAGATTATCATTCTTCACATCACTAACTAATTGAACTACAGTGATAGCAATCATAGCAAGAGTTGATAACACAATAAGTACTCCAAGGAAGAATCCAATAATACTTTGACGATTTAATTTTTGGACAATTTTAGAGAATCCAAATTGACCAAATGCTGCTCCAATAAATCCAATAGCAAAATACCATAGTCCATAAAATATATCTAACTTTCCATCAATAATATATTGTAATGAAGAAGATGATGCAGTAAACATAATCATAAATGCAGATGTTGCAGTTGCTACTTGTGGAAGAACTCCAATTTCAAGTAATATTGGTCCAATTACCATACCACCACCAATGCCAAGGTATGCAGCACTAACTCCAGCAAAGAATGCACCAATTGGAATAATTAAACAATTCTTTACTGTCCATTGAACTTCTCCTTGAACTTCTTCTCCACGTTGTCTCCACCATAAGAATATTCCAACGACAATAGTCACAGCTAACATTAATGGTCCTCCAATTGCAGTTAAAACCCAATACCAAGGTGTTCCACATTCAATTCCAACAATACTATCCATTTTTTCTCCTCCTTTAAGAATAACAATAAAGAACATAACTGCCCAAACAACAATTAATATTCCAACTGACAAAATTGCTTTTATTATTTCTCTCTTTAATAATGTTTTCTCTTCTATTTTTTTAGCTTCTTTTTGTGCTTCTTGACTCTCGTCTTGAGGCAATAATTTGGGTCCACTTCCTTGTCCTTCTTCTTCTTCTTGGACTCTTTCATCTACAATAACAGCATTATTTCCATTTTCTGATGGTTTCATATCATCGTTATCATTATCAGCAATATCTGGTTTTGATGTTTCAACAAGTTCAGTAGCTTTAGCAGCATCTCTTTTTTCATTTTCATTTTTCCATTGTTTAATAGCTTTAGCGAATGTTTTATAAGAAGTGAATCCAAGTAAAAGAACTAACACAATAATAATTAACCAACTAGGAGAAATAATATTGAATATTACCCCAATCATAGTTCCATAAATTGTTAATGGTTCAACCATCAAAGCAGTTGGATAACTAATCAATGGTTTATAACGAACATTTGGATGTCTTTTCATCCAAAGAATTAGAAATCCACCACAAGCAACCCCAAATGTAGTAATTTTAGACAAAGGAATAGCTTGATGAGGATCCATTTGAAGAATTAATACAAAAATTACTAAATAAAAACAACCACCTCCAATACCTGAACCAGCACATAACACTGCAAAAAATAATGAACCGATAGATCCAACAATCAACTTCCAATCAAACACAAATGTTGAGTCCATTATATTTAATATTCTTGATGAATTAAGTTCTTTTTTTTAAGGTATTTCCATTGTCTCTTTCTGTATTTCTTTTTCAAAAAATGTATCTTTCCTCCCAAAACATAAAATCAACTAGAACATTGTACTTTTTCGGGGATTTCTTCTAATAATTTGTATAACTGTCATTTTTTAACCCTATTAAAGATTTTTTCTGTTTAATGAACTTATTTATTAAAATAACACTATAAAAAATAAAATTTTCTTTTGTAGAATAAATATCTCATCGAAAATTTAATTAAAGTTAAATTTAAACAAATTTAATTTCCTTTTGTCATGATTTTTTCAGTTTGAAATAATAAAATGACATTTGTATTAACTAAAAAACTATTCTTCTTAGTTCTTTATTAAGTATATATTTCTTGTGTTTAAACTGGATCAAATATGTTCTAATGTAACATTTCCAGATTAGATAAATACAAAGGAACTTTTCAATGTAAATTATTAAATGTCAACAAAAGATAATTGTAGGTCTATCTCGTGCTTAAAGTCAGATGATTATTTCTCGTCTTATAACTCTAAAATAGACTCTCTTCTTTTAATAAATGATGACAATGTGTCTGAAGAAATTGTGTGTATTTTAAATCATCATCCATGCTTTCACTTAGTCCATGTTTTGGGAAATGATATAATTGATATCCGTCAATACCTTTCTCAATATATTTTCGCTGAAATATCTAAAATACAAACATCTCAGAAACTACCTCCTTTTAACATATTAAAAAATTAGTTTTGTTTTTATTACGTCATAATTAAAATTTAAAACTTTTAGTGTCAAAATATCAAACCTAAAATATTAATCATCATTAAGTTTTTTATACATTAACTCATAATAATGTTATCATTAAACAAACGTTTACTCTTTAACAAGAAAAAAAATGTTTTATGATGTGATTAAATAAATTGTTGTTGAAACAATTCTAGATGAACCACTTATCAAAAAATAATGTTATTTGGAATAAAAAATGAATATTTTTTTATTTGCTA